TTTAGGAAACACAAGCTCCCCCTATTCCTTCATTTTCCTCCCTTCGGACGCTGTTTAAATTGTTTCTTCCCTGTTAAGGCTGAAGTTCTGCAGTCATAAGATCGCTGCTCAGGGGCCCACCAAGCAGCGGGAAGCCTTTATGCTTTGGTCAATAAATGTAAGATGCAGGGACTGCCCGCACGACTCCCATCAAAACTGGCCATGACCTCTCTGCTCGTCATGGCGACAGTGCTTCAACAGTGCTGCGGTCAGTGTCAACTGCATCTGGAGCAATTTACAAATTGTGAAATGTTTGTATAAACACTCTCTAACCTATTAATCTTGCACTGGGATTAAGTTTCGGATATTTTGGATTATAGGATGAAAGTAAACAGTATGAAGCTAAGATTCTTAAGAAGCCACGGTAGTAGAACAGAGGGTTCTTAAATGCGGGGCCTTGGGCAGTGCTGTCGGGCGGGGACTGCATGTGGTCCATCTCTGTGGCAGGCACGGTCCCTGAAACGGTGTCTTGAACATTTGCCGACACTCCACAAATGTTTGCTGAATTAGCTAATCCTTGGTTTGTTCCCATAATCAACCAGCCCAAACAGCACGCAGATAATTACTTCTTGGAAACACTCCAAGTAGTGTTTGATGTTATCCATGCTTTTATTTTTTATATTTTTAAAAAGAAATCATAACTTTTTTTGTCAAGAGCAGTTCTACAAGATTATGCTACTCTTTGTTTAAATGATGTTTACACTGAAGTGCCATTTCATGGAAAATTTCTACTGGAACATACCACAATAGGATATGGTTACTGTTTTAAAAATTGTGATCCCAGCTTTCAACTGAGAAGGCATACAATTTCCCTTTCTCCACCCAGAGTAAGCAAATGCATGCTTTGGTATTAATATAAGAACTAAAGACATTTCAAATGCATGCTTTAAGTACTATGTATTACAATATTTTTGAAAGGAATCAAAATGTTACCTCAAACCTGGTGCTCACTAAAAAGTAACACTGTATTTTCCTGCATTTAAGGAAAGTGTCCAGTTACGTAGCTAATTCTGGAATATAATTTTAAAAGTGTAAAGAACAAAAATGCTGCATTTTAAAAATGAATCTTAATGGACAAAAGAAAAGCAGACATGCACTCCGAAAGACAATGGCTGGGTGCATGTGAAACTATTGCTCCTGATGTCACACAACTTGCAGCCAATCATTTCCATACATTACGATGTAGATCAGGCACTCACCTGAAACCATCCTGATCCTTGATATTCTAAATTTAACACTCTTCAGAACAAAGAGGCCATTCTCTTCTGCTTTATAAGCAAATGAACTTGAAGTCCTAGGGAATGTTACTGTGTGGGCCTTTGAAGCAAGACTAAAAGAGACGAAATCTTGCTTCATGTATATAAACATCAGAGGATTGGTTTTGGTTCAATGAAAGGATGAGTTTGTTTCAGATCCTGTGAGAAACCAGCCTCCTTTCTAAGTGCTCTATTTCCACAGCAGACCAGGTGGATGTCTTCCAGGGTGGGCACAGGTGCGGGTGCCACAGATGCGGCAACCATCAAAACTGGTGCTGTTACATTCATTTTTCCCAAGTGCACTGTGGTGGGAAAGAACTTCAGCATGCAGTGAGACAAAACAAACCTTTGACTTCACTGAAATGTTAGGCTGCATTTAAAGCCACAGGTGAAGACTAACAGCAGCCATACATATTTGTTATCTGCAACCTTGCCATTCCCTAAATCTCTCTATCACGTTAGAAGCTCCAGGGAAATCCTCTGATGACACTTACCAGTAGTTCAGCATCTGAAAAGCTTTAGCAAGTGAAACTCTGCACTATCACATCTTACAAAAGACCAACTAGAACCTTTATTTTCAGATTCCTTAGACTGTCACTGATTAATAAAGCGTACTTCTATGTATCCACAAACTGAATAGGAACCTACAGAACGGGGAAACAAAAAGCAATGCCAACAGAATATCACCAAGAAACTACTTCAGCATTTAAGTTTATTTGCACTTTTCTGGCTTATTTGCAGTTATAAGCTTATTTGATAAGTGTATTTGCACTTATCCGGCTGCAGCACGTAAGGTGCATTGAGACAGCTGAGCTACACGTCAAACGACCTTAAGGTAGACGTCATCTTACGTCATGTTCAGCTGAGGTCTTGGAGGCTGAGAAGGATGACGACAAACAGGTCTATTGTTTGCCTCCTCATTGCCCAGCTTCCTCTGTGCAATGCACAGCCGCCTGAGCCCTGGGAGGGGCCCTGAAGCACACCGCATCCCTAATGCTGCTTTGGGGAACCCCTACATCCTGGACCAGGGGAGCTAACACCAAACCCCCCTTACTTGGGAGAGACTCAACAGTGCGCGTGCAGAGAGGGGCACGTGACTTCACGCTGAGCCGCTTGCTGCAAACATCCATGAATAAGTGCTGCCTTTTTGTTTCCTTGCTAGGACTAAGCTAGCAGTAACTCCTAAGGGGATGCCACACCAAAACGACTTCCTAGAAAATAAAAATGGACACCAGAACAGGAGAATATCTTGGTAACTTGACAGATGGATCCAGTCATAGCTTAAACGATGGGATAGACCCCTGGGCTTCTAGCAGTAACCAAATAAAGACCTTCAACCAGTTTGAACTGGCTTTGTCCCTTGCAGCTGCAGAAAGCCTGACTCCTAACAACAGGGCACTAAAAATAAACGTGACCGCTTAGGAGGTTTCCAGTGGTGCTTCCTCCTCTGGGCGGTCTTACTTAATCCTTACAGAGCAGGACACTCCTATTAGCAATAAATTAATATTCATCAAATCTGTAACAGGTGCCAGGGGGAGAGATTAGGGAGAGCCTTGGGAGTGGGACTTTTGAATCTCACATGGGGGATACAACCCAGCTGCTGGCCAGGCAGCCCAGGATGCCGTGGGGCGACAGGTGCCTTTCACTAATCCCTGAATGAAAGCAGGCGCCTGAAGCACCTTTAACCGCAGAGGCAGGTTAAATGTCGCGTCCCTCGGGCTTCCACACCCACGTGGGGCAGAAGGAAGAGGCGCAGTCAAGGGAGGAGGGCAGAGGAATAGTGAAGCATCCCGGCGTGGGACCACAAATCTGGATCTCCGAGACGGAGCCCCACCGCATCTGCTCGGTAGCCCAGCTTTGCTACAGTCCATCAGGGTGCACGGGGAAGGGAGGGGGACAGGGCTGGGGACCACCTCCCGCTGGGTGGTCTCAGCTCTCTGCTCGTGAGGTGCGTCCACATCCGGCCTTCTTGTCCCAGCTTCTGCCTAGAGTTGCAAACCAAAAGGCCTGCGAGAGCGTGCGTTTTTTCGGGTTTCGCAGCTAGAGCTACGGGGTTCGGGCAGTCACACCCAGTGCACTCCTATGCTGCTTCAGCGCTGGCCCCTCCTGGCAGCGCCTCACATCGGGCGCAACAACAGCCGGCAACGCACTGCAAGCAGTACAAACGATTCCGCCGCGCTTAAAGGTCAATGTCGCCGCCTCTTCCCTCCCCATCTTCCAAACTCCTGGCCTGGTCGCTCGCTCTGGTTCCATCCCACGAACCCCGCGGGTCTCAACAAAGCAGCAGGTCCGGGGACTGGAGAACGGGACTTCTCCCAGGCCGTACTAGCAGCCAAATTAAGACTGAAAAACAAAGAAGAACCCAGGTCCGGCCGCTGGTGAAACCGAGGGCAGCTTCCAGGCGTGCGGAGAGCGCGCCCTAGGGGAAGCCAGATGCGGCGAGCAGCCTGGGACCCCAAGCGCCCTTTCCCGCACCGCGGGGGGTTCGAGGTTGTCCAGTGGAGCCGGGAGCGCCCGGAGCCTCGTGGGCAGCTTTCGTACCTGCCTGCGCCGGGGGTTAACCACAGACGGGCTTACTCTTCTTCTCGACACTCGGCAACCCTGCTGTGACTTCCACGTGCGTGCCTCGCGTGTGCGCGCTCCAAGTAGGGGGCGGGGGTCAAAAATAACTGCTGGACAATGTATCCGCATCTCGCAGGAGGTAGCGTCCGGGCTCACCACAAGGACGCGCAGGTGCAGCCTGCGTGCCGAGCGCGGATGCAAAGTACACACATTTAAGGGCAGAAGCCCCGCACGCCGCACTGTGACCAAGTGGGCCGGGTGTGCTTTACTCCCCAGGCAGCCTCAGCGTCCGGCCCGAGCCGGGTCTTCTCCAGTGCACGCTCCAAGCATCCTGAAGAAGTGAGCGGGTGAACCAACGCGTGACAAGCGCGGAGGATCGGATCTCCGCGACTCGCAGGGCGACGCTTTGCGAGGAGGACGCGAGCGAGAGAACGCAAGCTCCCTTCCCGCGGCTGCCGGCTCCTAGCACCCCGGCGGGCCCCCCAACTTGCCCGGGCGCGGGGTGCAGCCACAGGCTCCGCCCCCGCCGCTCACGCACTCGCCTGGGCAAGCAGCCCGCTGGACCCGCTGCCCACGCTGACCGCGCGCCCGCTGCCCCTCACGCCTGCGCCCACTGGGGGGCGCCCCCCACCCATCCACCCCAGGCGTCCACTCGCGGGTGCCCGGCTCTGTGCCCCGCGGAGGACGCAGGCACGCGCCGCCTCCTACCTGACCGCCCTCGAGGGAGGCAAGGCGGGAAGGGCCGAGAGGGCTGCACGGGCTCGGGGCCTGAGGAGCCGAAGCCACAGCGAAGAGCGGCCACCGCAGCCGGCCAGGGAGGGGACTGGCCGCGGGGACCGGCCGCGGGGACGCGCGCAGCCCCGTGCGCGCGCGCTCCCTCCGTCGACTCCCGGCCGGAGCCCAGCCCAGCTGCCGCGCGCCGCCCGCCTCGCCGCGCCTAATAACAACGGCTGGCGGGGTCAGGTGGCCGCGCGCGGACAGCGTCGCCATTGGCCCGGCGGGGAGCGCGGCGCGCCGGGATTGGCCAAGGGGCGGGACGGGGGCGGGCGGTGGGCGGAGGCGGGGCCAGGCCGCTGTCCGCGCCTTTGTGCCCGGCGCGCGCTCTCCGCCGGCTCCGGCTGCAGCGCCCGCTGCATCAATAATTCAGAGCGGCGGCGGCGGCGGCAGCGGCGGGTGCGGGCAGGAGGCGGAGGCGACGACCGCGGACACCGAGCGGCAGCGGCGATGCGTCCAAGTGCGGCTGGGCAGCCGCGACATCCCTGAGGCCCCGGAGGGGCTCCGGGAGCAAAGCGCCGGGCAGGGGAGGACGTCTGTCCCGGAGCTCCAGGACGAGCGCCGGTGTCCAGGGCGGCGGCGTCGGAGCTGCGCACCGAGCCGAGGAGGGGGCTTCGGAGCGGGGCTGGGACGGGGAGGGGGGCCGGCTGGCGCAGGCAGCCCCGGGGGCGGGGGGCGGGGTGGGCGCCGGTGGCGCGATGCTGGGCGCCGTGGAGCTGCTGCTGCTGGGGGCTGCGTGGCTGGCGGGCCCGGCCCGCGGGCAGAACGAGACGGAGCCCATCGTGCTGGAGGGCAAGTGCCTGGTGGTGTGCGACTCCAACCCTACGTCCGACCCCACGGGCACTGCCCTGGGCATTTCGGTGCGCTCCGGCAGCGCCAAGGTGGCCTTCTCCGCCATCAGGAGCACCAACCACGAGCCGTCCGAGATGAGCAACCGCACCATGATAATCTACTTCGACCAGGTGAGCGCGCCAGGGACCTGGGGCCGGTATTGGGGAAGGAGGGGGTGCGGCGACGTGCGCGGCCGGGGCCGATTCCTTTTCGGGACTCTGCGGAGGTGCGCGGACAGCTGCGGGGATTGAGAACGGCCTCCGTTCCTCGTGCCTGTGTCCTTGCAGGTGCTGGTGAACATCGGGAATAACTTCGACTCGGAACGCAGCACTTTCATCGCGCCGCGCAAAGGGATCTACAGTTTTAACTTCCACGTGGTAAAAGTCTACAACAGACAGACCATCCAGGTCAGCCGCCGAGGGGCCCTCTCGACCCTGGTTGGAGGGCGGTGGGGTGTGCTGCTTGCCACGGGCAGGCTGGGCAGGCTGGCAGGCGGAAGGGGTTTCCTGGAGGGAGGATCGCCGAGGCTCGCGGCTCTGGGCATCATTCGGACTGGCTTTTGCTGTCCTTGGCGTTTCAGAGCTGGAGCTAACGGTCTGCGTGTTCCGTGTCTTTCCGGAAAGGGTGCTTTGGTTTTCTCCCAGGGCTTAGCTAAAGGTTGCGGTTAGCACCGCGGACAGCTGCCCGCGCCCCTCGCTTCAGACCCGCGACAGCACCCCGATCCCCTTCCCAGCTCGGAACGAAGCCTGCGAGAAGGCTTCTTGTCTTGTCTTGAGCTCTTATGAACAGGGCCAGTCCCTTGCGTCGTGCCTCTCTTTGGGGACCGACTGTGGGTTTTGGAACTGGCAGGGAGAGATGGAGAGTGAGAGATGGGAAAGAAGTGTAGCGCCACACCCTCCCGGCTCCAGCCCAGCCCCGGCCGGCGCTCGCCTAGCTCTCCGGGTGCGCGGTGAGGTCCAGGGCTCCTCTGAAGGCAGACGGCGTCTGGCCCGGCGTCTGGCCCCCGCGAGGCTGAGCATGCACGTACTGGCGGCTGCGGGCGCAGGCTGCAACTTGGGCGGCCTGAACCGGTAGTTTGGCCGCCGCGGAGCTGCGCGCCTTTTCAATCAGCTTCCCAGGCTTTCTTCAGAGCCTCCCTGTGCCCAGATGGGCTGGAACCCGGAGGGTGGCATCTGGGGTCACTAGGAAAGAGGGTACAGATCTCGGGGTGCTCCTACCACCTTGGGGTCATTCTCTGGGGCACAGTCAGTATTTTCCTGGTGCTTTGTTTTGAGAAACCACAGCGAGGCAGCTCTGGGTGGGGAGAGGGGAGCAAACCTTCGCCCGAACCCCTGCCATTCCATCTCCGACCCCAAATAGGCTTTTCTTTCCTGCCGCCTTGTTGGTGCCTCGCAAGCGTCTCCCCATCCCCCGCGGGTGCCCTGTGCGCCGCTGCTGGGGGACCGCTCGGGATGTGCGCCTGACGCGGGCCTGTCTCTCTCAGGTGAGCCTCATGCTGAACGGGTGGCCAGTGATCTCGGCCTTTGCGGGCGATCAGGACGTGACCCGGGAGGCCGCTAGCAACGGAGTCCTCATCCAGATGGAGAAAGGCGACCGCGCATACCTCAAGCTGGAGCGGGGGAACTTGATGGGGGGCTGGAAGTACTCGACTTTCTCCGGATTCCTGGTGTTTCCCCTCTGACTGGCTCCCAGCGGGAGAGGAAGCTGGGAGAGGGCGGAGGCTAGAGGCAGGAACAGGGCAAAGGAGCGAGTGAAATTACGCGGGCAAGCCAGAGCCAGCGGCAGGACTTCAAGTAAACTCCTAGCGCCTTCCCTAGCCCTGCCTGGTGAAAAGGTGCGTGCCCCGACGCAGTTGCTGGGGTCTTTTGAGAAACTGATTTCGCTTAGCTGGGCGCGCTCCCAATTCCAAAAACAATCTCACCTACTCCATTCCAGTTTCAGTCATCGAGAAAGAGACTGCCTTGTCCTTCCTATAACGGCTTCCCGCAATTTGTTGACAAACTTTGCATTTCACTATGTGTGAAATCTCTCTCCTTTTTCCGGAATCCTTCTACCCCCCCCAAATGAAATCCAACATGTCCCCTCCCTGTGTTTTTTTTCCAGTTAGGAGAAGAGGGTAGTTTTTTTTTTTTTCTCTTTGTTTTAGTTGGTTGGTTGCTTTTTTTTTTTTTTTTGGATGGGGAGGTCGTTTCCATTGGCAGGTGTGGCTGTTTTTCAACTTCACTAACTGAAGATACTTTGTATCTGCTGCTTGCAGGGCCCAGAAAGGACTCACCTTAGCGGTGCCTGGTTTAAAAAAATTATAATCTCTATATAAATATATATATATATCATTTGTACATGAACTCTTCCCAGTGGAGACTGGCCGTGGTCCTGTATTTCTGTGTCCCCGGAGTGATTGTGAACTGTAAGGCTGCTTGCTGTTCGGCTGCTTGCCAACGCCCTCGCACACAGTGGCTCCTCTCAACCACACTCAGCGCCCGCCAGCCGGCCTGGGAGCTTCTTCCCGGAGGCTTGCCCGCCCTCTGTAACCTACCTGGCCAATAGCCCACATTTAATTTTGCCTGACTCCAATAAAATCCAAATGGGACTTGTATTTTTTTTTCTCTTCTTTGAAACAGCTTTCCAATACTCCCTGTCCCCACGGCGAGGTTGGGGGCCGATGTGAGCGCTAAGGACAGAGGACTTGAGAGACTGCTACTGGATGAAGGCTGGGGTCCCTGCGCTCCTGTTCCCTGACAGGCCTAGGGCCCATCCCAGGCTCTGCGCTCCCTGCTTGGGCGCACACTTAAGAAATGTGGCCCAAACCTTGCTGGGTCAGTGTTGGCCGAGGTGGCCCTGGCATTGAAATGTGGGTTTTCCAGTCTTTTCAAATGCATCAGGAATCATCCCAAATTGAGAACTGGATCCAGTCTGCCCTGAGGAGCAACCTCCCCACGCGGCCTTCAGTCTCTGGATGTTCCCGACGCTTGTTGCTCTGCAGTTCAGAAGCAGCGTGTGTGCATTTTTTTGTTGTTTTTGTTCCTGTTCTTCTTCTTCTTCTTCTTCTTCTTTTTTTTTTTTTAACTGCCCGCTTCTGAATTTGGAATCCACCCTTGCAAAGTCCCGGACGCCCAGGACCTGAGACCGCGCGATTCCAGAGGTTCACCCAGGAGTTTTGATTGTTATCAGAACCTAATGTGAAAGCAAAATTGAAAATAAATGACTTCGTTTTGAGTCTGGAAGGCTGACCTAGTCGCTCCGATGATGGCGGGATGGCGGGGCGTGCGACCGCGGGGTGGGCGCGGACGCAAGAAGCATCTGCGGGTCTCTCAAGGCCCAGCTTTTGTGGGAAGCTTTTTCATGGCTTCAGGTTCAGGGATGAATTTAATTAGCTCGGGGCAGGGTGGAGGGAAGGGATGTGTTTAATAGCACAACCCTGAAAGGTTTCGGAATTGTTCCAGCGGCTTAAGAAGTTCACTGGGCCTGGGCGGAAAAGCTGACCTCCTTCCAGCGAGCACCAGCCTGGAGGAGAGGAGGGGGATCGTCCGGCGCTGCCAGGGGAGCCCCCCACTGAGCCAGTGGCCCGCGTCCCGCTGAGGGAGAGAGGGAGGGAGGAGTGGATTCGGTTACGGTTTCCCTGCCACAGTTCCTTTCTCCTCGTCAGTCCGTCAGGCCGCTGGAGAGTGGGACCAAGCATGGAAACGACCCAAAAGGAACCAATAAGACCAATTCCTCGTTTTAAGAAGCCACAGCTTTCTCCATCACCTTCCTGCTGCCAAGCAGGGCCCCGGGGCCGCCCTAGCCTTCGGTGGCGGACCTCTCCCCCGCCCCATAGCGCTTCAGCCACGGAGCTGCGGGGCACTCGGGCGGCGCGTGCAGCGCCCTTAGCCACCACCCTAGGAAGCGCCACCCAGAACGCCGCGGAGCTCACCTTTAGTCTCGTGCGCGGGGCAGTGGGCCCCGCCGAAGTCTGCCCACCTTTACAAGGACACGGAGACTTCCGTGTGCGGCCAGGAACCCCTCCTGGCTCTACTGGTTCCCGCGACTCCTCAGTTTCCCTGCCCCGAGACCCCGTAGACGTCTTGGGTTGGGGTTGTGAGTCCTGGCCGGCCTGCTGACTGTCCAGGGAGGCTCAGGGTAGCACCTGACTCTAGCTGCTGGCTGGAGCACAGACCAAGGGGAAGGCTGCGGCCTTGGGATTGCGATGGCTTTCTTAGCTCCAGCCGTAAGGTGTGAAAGGTGAAGCGAGATGCAGGGCAGTGCCTTGATTCCAGCTCCACACTCTTTTTTTTTCTCCACCTGCCCTGGATGGAAGCATCTCTCATGAGTGTTCCTGCCTTCCACTCCAGCTTGAAGCTCAAGTATCCCTTTTCTGCATTCGCTTGTCAAATACCTGTTTAGAGATCTCGGAAGCTCACCTAAAAGGCTACCTGCTCTGGGTAGGTATCCTGTCTGGGAGCACAGGTACTGTGCAGCCCCCAGATACTCCCACCTGCCTCCAACCAGCTCCTGTATGGAAGGAAACCTCAGGACTGGGCTTGTCTCGGACCCTGCCTTGGGCTCCACACCAGCAAGCTCTTGGGACGTGCTGGATGTGAGACTTGCACAGCCCGACTTCCTGAACATGCCTCAATAGCCTGCTTGGGGCCTGGGTAGCTCTCCCTGTGGGCCTGGCAGTGAAGGGCGGGATCACAGCAGGTGGGTTTGAACACTGGGCTCCAGCTGGTGGGGGCATAGGAGTCTGCTACTTGTGTGTTGAGGATAGGTGGGTTGCAAGAAAAAAAAAAAGGTGTGTGTGGGGCTACAGTTCCATCAAAGGGGTCAGAGGCTGCTTTTAGTGTTTAGACCCCTGGGAGCCCCTCCAGGTCCACAGCCCACCTCTGGCTTTTCTGGACTGCAGCACCTTCAGGTGGGAGTGCTGGCGCTCCAGTCCCACCCCCTCCCTTAGGCTTCTCCCTAGCCCTCTGAGACATTCTCCTTCAGCAGCCCCTCAACCTCTGAGAGCCCTAAAACACCCCAGACTGGCTCAGCTGCCTCCCCTACCTTTCCGCTTTCCCATCTCCTTTGGCCCTCAGCAGCCAGGCTCCAGGGGGTGTGGTGAGGGTTACCGGGGGAGACCTCAAGGGTCCAATTGTTCAGCTCTAATCTCCTGGCCCAGGGCCTCCGGGGTGCCAAGGGGTTCTGGAGAGTCCAGCAGGGATGGAGCTGGGGCCAACGCCTTCATGGTGGCCGGGGAAGCCTGCCGGGAGCCTTGGGTCCTGCTCCAAGCACCCCAGTCTCCCTGAGGCTCCGTTGCCGCTGGCTTCCCCATTAACCCAGTTGGGAGTGCGCTGTTGAGCCAAGCTGGAGCACTAATGCTCGCAGCCCAGGCGGGCACTGCGCTCCTAATGAGGACATAATTACCCAGATGGAGAGGGAGCCTTGTCCCGCTCCCTTAATTGTTGCCTTAATGGGGGAGAGTAAGGGGCGGATTCCAGGTCCCCCGGAGTTCCAGGATGCCTAGATGGGGTCCTGGGGCTGTGAGGATCGGCTAGAGGGAGAGAGACCCTGAATGGTGGTGGACAGCGTTCTGAACCTACATTCGAGGCTCAGGAATACAGGCAGCGGGTGGGAAGACGCCTGGGGTTTCTTGGGACTGGGAAACCTTTCTTTTCTGATGGCCGCCTGGATGCACTAAGCCTTCTCAGTCTCCCAGTAAATGCCTGGCCCTGTCCTTGTCATTCACGCAGAAGCATCGAAGCCTGTTAGCGGAGGACTGGGGGGAGGCAGACCGGGGAGCTGCTCCGGTGTATTCAAGCTGGGCAGGTTCAGAGGGCCCTGTGCACACAGCCTTGGGGACTAGTTCCTGGGGATAAAAAGAGGACCCCAGGGCCAATTACTGAGATCTCCCTTGCCTTAGTTAGAAGATACTGGGCTGCACCAGGTTCCCTTTCCTCTTATTTCACATAAAGCTTGGCAACAGGGCAGCTGTGAAAACTACAAGGAGGAATACAGTATCATCATGGACACACTGTGGATGAGACCCGACAGCCAACAAGGTGTCACATTGTCACCGAGACAGGGTTTATGGGTGTATCTCAGGAACCTGGGCCTCTCGGAGATGGAAATTAGGAAATCCAAGAAGGAACAGAGCACACAGCGTGTGAATGTGGTTGGTGGGTAAGGTAAAAGAGCCCTGTATTCTTTGTTTACCCTTCATTCTCTGCTCTTCTGACCCCCACCAATCCCCAGAACGGGGACCAGATTTCCTAAATGCCTTTCCCACCAGCCCCTCGTTGTTTCTCTATCTACACTGTCTTGGATTCTCTGTCTGCTGGTGAGCTGGAGTCCTCTCCACATGCTGCTGGCCCGGGTAGTGTTTCCCAGGGTGCCTGACCCGGAGCAGGTGTCCTGAGCAGCATCAGACCGTGCCTGGCACAACCGCAGGACATATATACATGGTAAAAGCAGCTCCCCCTGGCATCGCTAACAGGAATACTGTTGTACCTGCCAGGTAGACCTGCCTAGGCACCTGCGCTCACGCGCATCCTTTCCCCTGCTGGGCCCCTGGGGTTGTGGAGGAACAGGCCTAGCCTCCATGTGTGAGCTGGTATTGGAGTTTAGGGTTAGGTCTTACCCTTGGGATAACAGTATCTGGTGCACAGATGAGGGTGTCTGTGTTTGGGGGCAGTGCCTAGGAAACCTAGCACAGCTGGTTTT